TATTTAAGGAATTAGTTTTATATGCATAGAAATTGAGATTTGTATTTTTCTAGCATACACAGTTTCTTTTTAATCATATCAAGCCTTCAATTGCGAGTCAGTTTAATTTAATGTTACATCATTGACTGACTTGCTTTCTCTCTTTCCTCTTCTCTCTGTCGAGTAGCAGGGGTAGCCGCGTCTCGTGCACCGAGGGAGATCGAATTTGCGAAATGGCTGTGTATGAGAGTTGAATTCCTGACGAGGTAATTCGCGAGGGCACCAGCACGCGGGCGTGGGAACGAAGTAATGTCCCGTGGAAAGTAGAAAGGAAGAGCTCGTAAAAGGGAACGAAATTCAAAGTAAATTTTCCAAAGTAGGCGGCACATTACGGCAACGCCGTCAATTGACTTTGTTAGGAAGAATAGCTGTCGTCAGACGTCGCATTTAGCCATTTTACGGGGAACAAAATTTTTCGATTCACCTCGCGAATGCTCTGTTCTGAAGGGTGACGTTCAATGAATTCCAGCGACAACAAGAGTATTTAATTCATAAAACATATAATAAATAAATAAATAAATAAATAAATATATATATATATGCAGGTATAATATAGAATAGAATATAATTCAGTGGAAATTTTACTTAAAAAAATATTTATCATTGAGAATAAAAGAATTTTCGTAAATTAAAATTCAAAGGCTAAAAGTAATAAAAGTTTTTTTGCGATTAATCTCTAGCATTTATTTTGAAATTTCCATACATGTGATTCTAAAATAATATTAAAAAATTAATAAACTGCAGCCTAGTTTTTTCTTATTAATTGTAAGTTATGCGGAATAAAATATAATAAAATATAATAAATAATATACATATAATAAATGTTATATTTATTATATATATTATTTACTCCTTATCACTTGGAAGATTATAGCCTATTAATTTTATTATAATATATTATATATTTTAGAATGAAATAGAAATTTCTTTCAAAGTAAAATCTAGAGTTTAATCGCAAAGCAAGCTTTTGTTCCTCGAATTTTAACTTATGAAAATTCTTTCGTCTTCAATGTTGAATATTTTCCTAATTGGATTTTCCATTAAATCTTCACCGAGTTAAAATCAATTCTATTATATTACACCTACGTGATAAATGTGGGACAGGTTTTATGCAAAATTCACGGAATCGAGAAAAATCATATTACTTGGACTATCTACCTCACGTTCGATCGAGTATCGCTCTTCTTAATTGCAGAATTTAATCAATATCGAAAGAACTTCTCTTTATTGCAAATTGTCAAACGCGCTTGAGTAGAATAAAGGCATTTCGAAAGACGAAGCGAAATCGTAAAGAGGAAAAGGAAGGGGAAAAGGGAGAAAGAAAAAGGGAAAAATGGAAGGTCGAGGGAGAGAAAAAGCGCAGAGAAGTGGATCGCGCGGTTTTCATCTGCGAAAATTAAGGAGGAGAATCTGCCGGTGGTAAGAAAGTCTGTGCTAATTAAGGCTGTTTCTTCGGAGATTCCCCTTTCGCGGCCGGCTCTCACTCCCCCCTCCCCTCCTCTTTCCCTTGGTCCCGGCTTTTAAATAAATTATACCGAGTTAAAAGCCTCTTCGCACTTCCTCAGATAATCCGCGGAGCCGTTTCGCTCACCAAAGTTATACCCGTGGGAGAAATCTCGGTGGTGGAAAACGACGAGCGTTCTTTTCCCCGTTTATAGGTATGCCACGGGGTTAAAATGCATCCGAATGATCTAGCAGCGGGAATACTTTCTGCCGCAATTACGTTGTAAAGCAAATATGAAAATGCGATTAGCTCCCGCCAAGCCAAATTCAATTGCTTCCCCTTATCTTTCTTATTCGATAAATATTCGTGAATGAAATTTACGAAAATATATTAATACTCGAGTAATCCTCATATTTTTTATGGCTAATAGAATTTTATCAAGAATAGAGTGGGAGAGAATGTCTACTCAAATCTCGTAAAAAGGCATTTCTGATTTTTTAGATATTTTTGTTCGAAGTTCCAGATAAAGAAAATATTTTAAAAATTCTTTGATGCAACTTTCTAACATAAGTTTCTTTATTTGTATGCATTTTCTAATTTCTTTTAACTCATACGAAGAAAAAAACAAAGCTTCTTAAGTTTCAGGTGATAAATTTACAAATATACTGAAAAAAAATTAAATAGTTTTCCTAAGATAAAATTTTCATTTGCATGACATTTTCATATTTTATCACCAAAAATTATAATCTATACCGAAATAAAAATCTGTACTTCATATTTTTTCAAGATAATGAATATATAAACAGAAATAGATTTATATTTATAATACATTTTAAACGCATATATATTTCACTTGACTAGCTATTTATATTAAAAGATCAAAATTATCAAAGAGAATTTTTTAAAAATTCTCCAAGTGTCAGTAAAATTCTATGATAATTCCTTGATTTTGTCAGGTACAAAAAATCCCTAAAAATTTTCCACGTTTTTCCAAGAGGTAAACATTTTGCAAAGACAAAATGATCAAAAAGAGAATTTTTTAAAAATTTCCGATGAAAAATCCCATGAGAATTTCCTGATTTTTCCCCTTAGAAAAAATCGTAAGATTCTCAAATTTTCCACATTTTTCTAGTGCAATAAACATCCTGAGGAAAGATTAAACGAGGAATCCGTAATAAGAGTTACAAAGATATGCCAATTCGACGACGAAAATTCTTCAGCATCGTAGGAAACATCGGTTATAAGAGCAGTTTTAAACATCTCGGTTGGCTTTTCAGGATTTCGAATTCTTCGTCTTTTGTAGGCGTCGTGGTCCTACAACGAGTCGTCGTTAACGCCATTGTTCTCACGGTACTCCTGGCGCGCTAAGAACGTCTCAACGCCTTCGAGAGTTAAGTAGATGTTTCTCGGGACGTCGGGTGCATTTTTAAATAATTCGATGCAAAGCAGCCGAGAAAAGGCGCGAATTTCCCCCGAGGGGCTTCTCGAGGGCGGGAAACAGGAGGGAGGGAGGGAGGGAAGGAGAAAGAACGAATGGAATTTCCGTGGGATTCGCTCGTCCTCGCGGCAGACGTGGCTGGAAAGCGCGAGCGATTCGGAGCGACTTTTACAACTTAATTTTTGCGTATTTGCGAGCTACGACGACGACGGACTGCTGCTGGCTTTGCGGAAGGAAAGTAAATTTTCCGACACGTTTGCTCGTGCACATGCGTTGCGTTCGTAAGCTACTGCTTATAGCTGCCTGATTTAAGTTGAAGAATTTTATTAATTTGTCAATTTCTCTCTTTCCCTCTCGTTTTTTTAATTATGAAAATACAGGTCAAGTTGAGCAGTTCAAATTAAATTCTTATTATAACAAAGATATCTAAGAAATTGAGAGTACCACTGATAGTAACATTTCGTAAAATCTCCGAAGCGAAAATAATTTCAAAGAAAATTCGTTTAGAAAGAAAAAAACTTCTATATATAAAAAAATTCTACATTCTTACTTTGTCAATAAGGCAAGCGTTGCTCTTTTCTGTTATAATTTATTAGGTTTATTTGGATCTTGTGCTTTTCAGAATATATATTACAAGTCTCTCACCCGCACGTATCTAAATGTGAGAGAGGCTTCTACCACGGGCTGACTACCAAGTAGTGAAGATAAATGCTAAGTCAGACTATAAGATATCACTCGATAGATGTAGCATGACTTATCAATATCACTGTCTTTGGATTTGAATATTTACCAAGATATAACAAAGATACAAAATTTAACACAAAAAACAGAAAAAGAGAATTAATTAGATTTAAAAAAAGAAAAAGTTATTTCAGCATTAACATAATTTTTGAGATATCAATAAATGATTAAAATTGTACAATATGACACTAGAAATATTTTTTCATCGCAAGAGAATCAAGAAATTATAATCCGTATTTCACAATCATTTCTAAATTCCGCAATTTGCGAACCGTGAGGGCAGATTGCTTGTACAAGTTACTATATAAGACAGTGCGGTTCTCCGAATGGGAGCTGACTATCAAGTAGCAAGGATGGATGCCAGGGCAGACGGTATTAACCATTCCACCTATTGGTATTGGCACGCGGAGAAAATATTGCCGAGTCGAGAATTCGCGAATAAATCTAAATAACCTTCGTATCGGAATACCGCAGTCTTTCGTATCTCTATCGTACGTATCTGTTAAAAACAGTAATGCTAGAATGATTTTTCTCCCTTATCTAATAGATATATATCCGTTAGATAAGAAAGAAAAATCATCATTATACGTTATTCAAACTTTGTAAAATCCAATTTCCTAATCTTTCAGGTATTTTCAAAATTCCAGGTAAAGCGAATATTTAAAAAAACTTTTCAGTGTAATTTTTTTAAAATATGATTTTTCATTTTAATTATATTTATGCATTTTCTAATGATTTTCACTCATACGAAAAAAAATACGTAGCTACTTAAATTTTATGTACTAGATTTGCAAATGTACTAAAAAATGAATAGCTTTCATCAAATAAAATGATTAAACAATTTTGGAGAAAGGGAGAAATTCATATTTATATATTTCATTTTTCAACAATGCAAATCTGGATATAAAATATTTTGGTTGAATTTTTATACACAATCGTATAGAGAAAATAGAGCAATATTCATAATTCAGATAAAGATTAATAATATAATTGAATATTTGAGATTAAATATTTCTTGAGATTTACAAGCACATTTAAAAAAACATGTACTTACAATATATGCGATATGTATTATTCGTTTTTTGTTGTGAAATCATTCTTGCAAATTATTTTAAATTGATTGCATGCTTTCAAAAATTTAGATAATTCTATTTTCAATATGCAATATTACTTATTATTAATTATTTAAGTAAGATAATTTGTAAATAGAACTACATAAATATAGATATATAATATACCCTATATTTAAGTCAGTGCAGTATTTTGTAAACGAAAAATTATAAAAATATCAATATTCATCTTCTCGATGCATAATTGATTATTTTTATCACATATTACCTGTGCTCCTTGTATACATCGAAGAGAATCCAAAGCAACGCACGAATATCTTCACAAAAGAATCGCAGAGGATAGTGATACAAAGAACAAGTAATTCCAGAAGTAAGAAACTATTTCTGCAGAGGCTTTCGTCGCGCATCGTCAATCCAGATCCAATATTTCTCCGGGTGTGAAACTATCCCCACGATCGTCTTTCTGACTCCTATCAAGATGACCTTCAGGCGACAGGTTCTTGCCACCGAAGCGATTGCCAAAATTCAGAAAATCGGAGCAGGGACTGCCGGCCTGTGCAGGTTCGGAGAAACGTTCTCTTTTTCGTCGCTTTTACCGTAATTACTCTCAAAGGTTTTTACTTGGAGTAAGAAGTTATCTGCGACGTCGCTCTCCATCGACGGCTGTCGGCGCAATCGTCTCGGTGACATGGTTGTACACTGCTGTAAGGCGTTATCACAAAGATCCATTGCATTGTTGCTCGTTTCCTGCAAGAATATCATGTGTCAGTTAAAGGTTTATTTAATATTTTATAAGAAATTTGTATTATCCGTTAATTGCTGCTTGTGATTATAAATATTAATAAATATAAATTATAATCAATAAATATATTCAATATTATCTGATAGCTGAATAAGAGAGTAAGAGAAGCTGAATAAGAGAAAAAAAGAAAATTAATGATTGATTAATTAATTAATTAATTAAATTTGATAATTAAATATTTATAATTGAAGCGCAACCATATATATATACATATATGAAATTATACTTACGAATTTAGAATTGTCATCGACAACTTTGACAATATCACCTTCCTCGGTCGTAGTGATAATGCCGGTGCCGAGTTTTTTACCAAGTATCTTCACTTCTTTCCTGCACCCTTCAAATGCGTCGATAGTATTAGGTATACAACCACTCGTTTGCATGGTAGTGTTTTTAAGAAACTGCTCGAAGGGACTGAGAAGTCTGTTATCTTGATAATGTGGAGCGACCAATTCGTGACTATGATTCTTCGGCCCCAAAATCTTTACCTCGTTCAGACCGGAAAACATCTTGGGAGGCGGTAAACAAAATTTGTCACCGAAAGGCTGTAAAAATCGCATGATGAAAATTATTATCAAGAATTATTATTAAGAATTGCTTTAATTTTCAAATAATCTTGTACCTTAATACATTGATTTCCGGAATCCATCATCTTTATGTCCGATTGACCGAATGATAAACCGGTATCGCAGTCGTCGTCGAAAACCGATGGCAATCTCATTTTTGGATCATACTCTAAATGATGATCTGTCATGGGGGAGACGCCCAGAATGTTTAGATCGTCCGCAAAGCTCTGACTGCTCTTCAGATACGGGAATGTCTCGTTCAACAATGACAATGGTGGATGGTTCTTCATTAACAGAGACGATAATGAGGATTGCGAACTAGTGGATAGATTCGAAGAATGACCCAAGATGCTTGTTAAATCCTGCTGACTCGACGATATGGCTATGGCTGAAATCGGTAACCATTGACAAAAATTAAACATACGTGTTTTTATCTACATATGTAAATTAAATCTTTTAACGTTATAGTAATTTAGCGTAATTTATATATAAAGTTGTATGCTTTTTACATTAATTTTAAAAATGTTTAAATTAATTATAAAAATAATGTGAATTTTTAAACTAATTTTAAGAATTTATATAAGCTATATTATATACATATAGAGTATCCAGTAACTATATCACTTCTCGTAAGTAGAATGGCTTAAAGTGAATAAAAAAGTCTTGTATCATTTTGTGATTTTTGCAAAATTAATAAGAAATTAATTAAAAAAAAGATTGTCCTATTGCTTATATATTGCTTATTTAAAAAAGTAATTACTAAAATTTACATGTATTAATATATATGTTGCGATCTACATACGCACGACAGAGAGAGCCTAAGGAATTTTTAAATTGAGACATTGTGACAAGAATTTACTTACCATCGTCATGCCCGACGAGGACGTTATCGCTGTCGATAGTCAGCGATTTGGGACCCAGCAGAAGATCATCGATTTTGGTCTGGGAAAGGAATGTTATACCATCCGCGAAACGATCGTCGAGGCTTTTACCCTCAAGAATCCTAATGTCTTTGTCCTCGAGAATCTCGATACCGTCCATTGACATACTGCTGGATTTCTGGCCAGATTCCAGCACCATGATCTGATTATCGTTGTCGCCAATGATGACGTCACCATTATTGCGTATATTCACAAGATTGATGGCATCCGCCTGTTCGCTGTCAAGAATCGTTACATCGTGGGAATTCTGCGCCATTAAGTCGCGGGCTTCGCTGCTTGTCATAACCTGTAGACATAACACGGACAAACGATAGGAGTATTGAACTGTTTAAAGCTTCATCATGATCAGAATAATTTATTACAATAATGCAAATTGTGAGATCTGATATACACAAATTTGTCTTTATCATATTTTGAAATTTAATAAGTTTTGGAATTACAAAAAAATAAATAATATTAGAATTAACATTAAAAAGAAATAAATAATATTTAGAAAATTTTAAGTTATATATTTCTCAAAAATTATACTTTTCAAATTTCTCCTCCCAAAATTATTTTTGAGAATTATGAAGAATTTAATTAGGAGAATGTTTGTATGTTATTAATAGATATTAAGTTTAATTAAATTCTTGCTAATTGGAAGAAGAGCGCCAAAGATAAATTCCGACACGAAAGTCATTTCTATAAAAACGTTATACGACACGTTTCGCAAGCACGACAGCGCTGCACAGTTCTCTAAATAGAGAAATCTATGTAAAGGAACGAAGGCGCCTGACGTGAATACTCAGAATGTGTCGCGCATACTGTGTAGGTCGAAAAGATGTCGACACTATAATGCCAGTTTTGCGTGGAAAAGTACGTCGCCTTTTCAGAGATAAAGATGTCAAAGGACGACATCTTATATATCATAGAATTTATGTTTTCTTAAGTTAAGTTCCCACAACATCAACAATTGTCTTTTCGATTTTACCAAATTTATATCTAGCCAATAGTGAATTTGAGATACATATTTTATCAAAATATAAAATCTTACAATTCTTAAAAACTGTACGAAAATACACCACGAAATAATAATTGGATTATAAATTGTAAAGGAAAAAATTTTTTTTTCCAAGCTTCAACAAGGAATATTCTCCTATTTATCAAATGTGACTATTGGCTATGCAAGCATCAACATAGTTTCATAATGAATGCGTTAATTGTTTCCATATTACCTCGTAACGACCGTCCTCCGTAGCACGAACAAATTGTATTCCACCTTGCGCAGCCAGCTCCAATAATTCGTTACACTCGTCTATTGACGGAGTTGAATTCGCGCTGTTTTGACGGTTCACTTCGTTTGGATCAGGCTCAGAAAGTGAGAACTGCGTGTCCAACGCTGTCACTAAATCATCTGATAACAGAAGATGAAGAGAAACATTTTGATAAAAACATTTGGTTTTATAGGATTGACAAGAGCTTACCTTGCTCCTGTTCTGTTCCGGGAGGCTCGACGACGAAGCTAGATTTACCATCGGCTTCGATATTCTGTATCACCGTGGCAACTACCGGTACTTTCACCTGAACAGCCTTGTTGCCGTCAGCATCTGAAGTCTCGCTAGGATTCGAAGTTATTTTTCCCGCTAGTCGCAAATCTTCGGCAGTCGCAGGTACAAGTATCTGTATATAATTATTAAACAATATCTCTGATTGTCCCAAATAATTGAATGTTATTAAATATTAATATTAATTTAAAATTATTATTGATTCCGATTTCGAATCGAACATGTTTACAAAAGCTGTCGGGATTTCCGACAGCAAGATAAACGTAACAAGTACATCTGCAAAACATCGAATTTTTCTCTCTACTCTTACTATATAATATTGGATATATAACTTTTAATAAACTTCTCTTGCGAACTTAACTAAAAGTCGAGTTTCTCATCAAATGTATTAGTATATAAAAATAATAACTAACAAATAAAAACTTTTAAATTAACGTTATTACAACTTTTTAAAATTTTCATATAAAGTCATGATTACATATAAATTTATTATATTTATTTATGTGTAACTAAAAGAGTTATATATCTTATTTGTAATTCTAAATGACTTAATTTTTTCATGTTTACTTATATATTTTATTTTTTATTAAAAATATAAGCATAAAATATAGATAAAATTATAATTTAATTTTATATATTTTTTTTTACTTTCTCTCCATACATATGTTTTCTATATAATATCCATAATGTACGTACTTACGTGCTTATTATTTGCAGTGGACAAAACTTTGACAAGTACCGGTATACCCTTAATAGGTCTATAAAGAGCAAAGGGAGTCTGGCCTTGCAGCAACGCAACCTCCATTGCTTTTGTTTCGATTTTGTTTATCACAATGCTATCCATTAAATCTGACTATCATGAAACAGGATTCCAAAACTAATTACACAATCCATAATTCTCATAATATATTAACCATAAATCAAATATATACTAACTGAGCCAAAATAATCCTTCTCTTTGTTTTCGCTCGTTTGATTTCGATCGCCATTGAACAATTGTATGATTCTAACGTTCTTGCTGAAAATGTATAATTACATATCACATGCTGAAAGATCTATAATTAAATCAACTCTGCATTGTGTAAAATAATAATTGAATATATAAGCGCTTTAATTGTCTATCTATATATCTATCTTCTGTGAGAAATAAATTAATAAAGAGAAAATACGATAGAAATTTGTCCTACAAAATTTTAATTAATTTCTTCCAATTTCTCTATTTTTATAAGATTTTATTTAATAAAAATATCAGCGATATATCGTTACAGTCCGTAATAGATTAATATTTTTAATTAAATAAGACATTTTATTTCTTATTTCTCTTGTATTTGCAAATATTTATATAAAATGATTGAAAAAATTTAAATGATTCATTTCAATGATTGTGCATTTATTGCATTATTGCTTGCGCATTACATCAAAAATATTAATTATATTTATGAAAAATAAAAACCTTTAAATTAACATTGTTACAACTTTTTAAAATTTTTATCAATTTACGATTATATATACATTTATTACATTGACTAATATCATGAGGCCTCTTTACATACCTTTTTGTATTAGATTCGTTCACAGTAGATTGCGCGTTGCTCGTGCTTCGATACTTTATACCGTGCTTGTATTCCTCGTGCGATCGTAAGGCGAATCTACGCGGAAACTCCTTTCCGCAGACTCCGCATGAATATTGCATCTTGTCGGCGTGTGCGTGCGCCTTTACCTTATGACAGACCAAATTTGACATCTGATTGAAGCCTTTGCCGCAAAGCTCGCATTTATATGGCCGCTCGTTCGTATGCGTGAACACGTGATTACGCAGATTGCCTGAAAAGACCTAATGTTAATTGTTTCGATTTCAAGTTGATAGATGAACTCGTTTCACATCAATTTACGCAATAAAACACATGGGAAATCGTAAGATATATATTAATAATTTTAAGAGCAAATAAAGTGGGACAGAATAGATGTTGCAAAGTATAAATTTTTTTAGAAGAAATTTAGGTCTGCTGGAAATTAATAACTAAAAATTAATAAATTAAGTATGTTATATACCCTTTTGATGAAACCCTTTACCGCATACGTGACACTTGTGTGGCTTGTGTTCCGAATGTGTTTTTCGATGAGAAATTAATGTAGACACCCTGAAATTCAAATTACTTTAAAATCTCAAATCATTATAATTCAATTTTATTGAAAATTTATTGCTTTTATGTTAAAATTCTAAGCATTTAAATATGAAAAATGATAATTTCCGACCTGTTAAATGTTTTCTTGCAGAATTCGCATACATAGGGCCTAGCATCGCTATGTATGGCCTTGTGTTGACTCAATGTTGACAACTGGCGAAAAGCCTTGCCGCAAGCTTCGCATTTGAAGTTTCTTTCATCAGTATGGGTCGGCAAGTGTCTCATCAGGGTGTACTGGTGACGGAACTCTTTTGAACCTGATACATAAAAGTTTCTTATAACGAAAACAAACTCATCTTCAATGACAACATTAAAAAGTAATTACTTGCTACGCTACGAAATCGAATTGAGAATTTGAAATGATATTTCTCGCGAAAAAAAATATTAAACTTGACATTTTTATTTCAGTTTTATCCAAATGTATAATTCTTGCCCTTTTAATCATTATTAATCAATAATAATAGTTGAAAAAATGAAATATGTATTCATATGTAAAAAAATATTATTTTATATATTAATTAGATTTTTCAAAATATTACATCACAAAAAAAATTATATAAAAATTCGAAAGATATTTTTCATGAAAAAAAATTAAATCTAACATTTTTTAAATTAATTTAATTTTTTCTCTTATTCGAATGTATAATTATTATTATGTATAATAATCTTTTCTTTTTAAAATTATTAGTTGATAATAATAATTTAAAAATAGAATATATTATTTTCTCTTTATATATAAAAAATAATATTGTATATATTAATTAGATTTTAAAAAGTATCGTTACTAGAAAAATTACGTACAAATGCCGCATTCCCAGATTTTAAGCGTCTTTCCGTCGCGTTTTAAATATTTTACAAAATGCAATCTGGATCGCGGATCATCCTTATCGATAAGTCGCGTTGTAGTGGACGAAGGACCTTCAGCAACAGGATGTGAATATACAACTACATTCTCATCCGGCGTATTGACGCTCTGCTCGAGAATCTGAAAGACCGGAAATTGGAATTTTAACGAAAATACCGTGAGATGCAAAAAATCAGGGGAAATTTATCGGTCGCGAAGAAAGAATACGATTAAGAATATGACTAAGAAAATGCTATTTTCAACAATACTTGCATATTTACTGCCATAATTATGTTGCATCGTGATGTAGAGATAGGCAAAATCCTTGGTACACAAAACTATTAAAAGCGTATACAAGTGAAATTCTTCAAAGAAGAAAGAGAACGAACTCTAGATAAATGAAGGAGGACGCGTACAATGAAATATTTCGCGTAAACTGCTGCTGTAACGATATACACTCGCTTTCGGCAAACAACTTGCCCCGTGCTAATAGTTGAACAAATATTTAAGATAGCTCACTTTAGCACTTACTTTGTACCTTAACGCTTCCTTGCCGAGGAGTTTTGTGACAGTGCCATCGATATTGATCACTTCGGAATCTATAGCTGCATCCAGGTCCATGCAATCATCCTTGAAAGTGATTTTACATGATCGCAAATTGTTTTCATCGATAAAACTTTCGCAGCAATTAATTACTTGGATCAATTGCTGATCGGTTGTGGATCCTAATCCCGACACACTCGGTGTATCACCGCTCCTCGAGTCTGGACCCGACTCCTCCTTCACGTAAACCTCGTAAACGCTAAGTCGCCGCATTGGTGTTTCACAAATTAAAAGGATTAATAAGAGAATTGCAACAAAGGCATAAGCACGTGGGATTATAACGAAAAATTTTACAACTAGCTTTTTTTTTTACATGCATAAAAATTTAGCCAAAAAATTATATACACTGCGTATATGTTAATCTCTCTGTTAGATATAAAAAAAAAACAATATTATACAATATTATACAAAATTTATACAAGAAAAAAATAGTTCGCGTTTGTGCTTATGCTGACTAGAAGGAACGTCGTGAGCTCACCTGATAACTTCATCTGGAATAGGACGAGAGAATTGCACCTGCGGATCGTCGCACTGAGTTTCCCCTACAAAGTCGAAAAGCATTTCAAGGTGTGAAGAAATTGTATGTTATCTTAAAAATAATTATATACTACATATTATATAATAGTTATATTACATATCTTAAAAATAATTATATTACTACACACGATATGTGTCTTTATTGTCTCTATCACAAGGATATCACAAGGATTATAAATAAATAAATATATATATATATATATATATATATATATTGATTTTTAGAATAAATTTCTTCTCGAACAATGTTTTATTATTTTATGAATTATCTAATTTATATTTTTTCGATAATAGGATATTTTTTTCCTTTAAATTTACTGAAGTGTGTACTCTATATTATTTTTATTTTATGGATTCATTGATCAAATTTACGTTTTGATAAAGTGAAAATATTACTTTTCATTTCGATATCTATAGAATATTTATTTGTTTTTCTCGAACACATTTTATTATTTTACAATATATACAATTTATATATATTTCTTTTCAATGATAAAATATTTCTTCTTTTAAATTTTCTAAAGTGTGCTCTTATATATTATTTTTATCGTTTATGGATTCATCGATCAAATTTACGTTTTGATAAAGTGGAGATATTACGAACTCTTTTCATTTCGATGCCCATAGAATATTTACTTGCAAGGAAAGAAATATATATGCGATGTATTATTGTTTGTGAATGTTGATCGAAAACTTTCCATTGCTCCAGACTTCCTTGAGGGGAGAGGACGATTGTTTTAGTAACGTAATCGGCTAATCGACGATTAGCATCTCGCGACGAGATAACGCGACGCTCATCGTCGACAATGCATTGTCGTAATTTTGACTTACATATAATGATATATAATCGTGTAAACATTTATCTCATATTTCGTTATCTGGCTGTATTATATTTCATACATATACGATATGGACTTATTGCTTATTTATTGCTATTTTATCTATGTCTATTGATAAATAAATAAAAAAATAAATTTGTATTGAGTCTTATAAAATAAATAAAAAAGTCAATTTGTATTGAGTCTTATAAAATGATCAAATATAATATCAGATTTATCAAAAAATATCCAAAGTCTATTTGAAAAAAATCAGTATGATTAATTAATATAATAGATCTAATAATCTTGAAATTCTTTCTTAATTATAATTTACTTATTAATTGTATATCTCCTTAATTTATATTATATTATAATCATTGTCATACATAATTTCTATTTTAATTTATATTATTGTCATAATTTTCTTTTTTTGTATTTCGGAGTAATTTACTTTACATGAAAGATTGTGTAATAGATCTAATTCTAAAATTTTAATACAATCAAACGTCTGATCTATTTATTAACTGTATATCTTTATATTTACATTGAATATTACTGCTACAATTTTTTTTTGTATTTCGGTATTTGAGTAATTTACTAGAAAGATGTGTATATATTTTTATTTATTTCTAATTACAAATATAGCCGGTGAATGATATATAATGAAGAATGCTACGGTTACAACGTTAAAAAGCAAATTAAGCGCGTAAAGGGCTACGCTAACAGCAGGAACTCCGAAAAAAAGCAGGAGTCAAAATGCAGAAAATACATTTACATACATGGGACGCACATCGATATCTTTATTCACCGGATATGTGATCGCGCGATTCTCCCGAGGTGTCAAGATGCATCGCGACTCGCGGCTCTCGGACCTCGGCTCTTTTTTTTATCCGGCGTTAAATAAACGAAAGCCGCCATTATCAGAGCTCATTTTTCACGACGCGTGCGATGCCCCCTGCTCTCGCGTGTCACCATTCGCGAGGATCATCGGCGACGATGATGGTATTTATACTCACAATTGTAGCCTTGCAGCAAGTTGGCCTGCGACGACATCCTGGAATCGATCGTCCTGCGCCGGTTTTATAGATCGGATGGATCTCGCCGGTCCTCGCCCGTCAATGTCATTGGCGTTGTCCTCCTTCTCCTCCACCGGATAATTTCTCTGCACTCGGGCAATTCTACGCGTTACGCGAGCGCCGCCTGTCGGCCGATCGAGGAATCCAACGCTCGACAGGAGCGTGTCCTTTTGACCGCAAGCTTCTTCGCAGGATCTCGCGTATCCCTCGTGACTCGCCGATGAATCGTGAAATCAAATAATTTGATAATTAAATGTGAAGTAGGATTTTTAAGCAGAAAATCTGATGATGTAAAGATCATAATAAATAAATATGAGCAGAAGATCTGATATAAAAATCCTAATAAATGAATATAAAAATTTTAATTGAAACATTTTGAATTAAAATATAAGGAAATGTAAATGTATACAAATAAATATAAGCAGAAAATATGATGATATAAAAATTCTAATAAATAAATATGAGCAGAAAATTTGATGATATAAAAATAAATATTCTAAATATCTTCTGGAACATCTTCAATTAAAATATAAGGAAATGTAAATGTATACAAATAAATATGAGCAGAAAATCTGATGATATAAAAATCTCAATAAATAAATATAAAGATTTTAAACATCTTCTGGAACATCTTCAACCAAAATATAAAGAAATATAAATGTATACAAATACAAATATGAGCAGAAAATCTGATGATATAAAAATAATAAATAATAAATACTAATACTAATATAAATTTTATATTAATAAATATCTAAGTTAATAAATATTTAATAAGTAATATAAATACCTAATAAGTAATAATATTAATAATAATAATATTAATATAAAAATCCTAATAAATAATAAGTAATAATATTAATAAATAATAATATTAATAAATAATAATGTAAAAATTCTAATTGGAACAGCTTCAATTAAAATATAAGAAAATAGAAATGTGTACAATTTTTGAAACTTATAATAGCGTTGAAATGTCCCTGAATTAATTTAAAAAATCGATTTTTTGTTTCAAATGTCAAATTATCCAGTTTCAAATTATCTTTATCTCTCTCGCCGCAAAGTTAAGCTGCTGTATTTGCTTGTGCAGCATTAATATGCCGGGAAACATCTGGATTCCATTCGATGAACGGTGAACTAAGGGAAGCCATCTTGAGACCCGGAGACCTACCCGGAGAGTTACCCTTCCTGTTTTCGAATTCTGGTCAGGTATGTCGGCAGCGGTGCTTTCCACCTACATAGACATAGATACCTCGCCATACTTGCCCGACTCAATTATGACTTGCTACTTCTTGCTTTAGCCGCTGTTTAAGTTGCTCCCCTGGATCTTCCGTCTCCTATCTCTGTCTGCCTGCCCTGCCTGCATCCTTACTCGAATCAGCCGAGTCACCCTGTCAGTCTGTTCTCTCGGATGCTGAGAAACGCAGTTTTCCCATATAGACATCTTCCTCTGCCGGATAAGACGTTCGAAACGTAACATCTCAGAAAACGTCTCAGACAATCCTGAAAAGAAAATGTTTACAATAAGTTGTAAGCCTTTAAAGAAGAAAGATATTTCGTTGCATAATCTTAATTAAGATACAGTATACTTATTTATTTTAATTGTACTTGCTATATATTTGAATAAAGTAATCTTTGTTTATATTTGCTACGTTTAAAAAGCTTGCAAATTCATAATCGATTAATATGTAAGTCGTTTTCACATTTTATGTAAGCATTTAATATTTATTAGAGATGTAAATAGAAAAGACAATTTCTTTTCAGATATTTAATATCTTTATATTTTGATTATTGCAAATTAACTTTTCATTCTTTTTAATTTTTAAAAGATAAATTTGAACAAATATTAAATCATATATTAAATCATATATTTAAAATATTTTCATATAATTACATATAATTGCATTTCAGTTGACTATACGGTTATACATTAATTAATTATTATTTAATTATTATTTTTAATTAGATAAATTCTCAAAAAAACAAATAAAACTTGAATGATTTGTCGTCATTATAGAAAATACAGTATATAATTTTTAATAATGTATTTTAATCATTATTATATTTTTTATTATTTCAACTTAATAAAAAAAGAACTAAAAGTTCTTATTATTTTTAATTTATTATTTTCTTTAAAAGTAATTTTGTACACTAAGATTTTTGCGATTAAAATGAGACGAAATAAATGACATAATTTGGACAAATAAATGACATAATTTACTTTTCAATTAGATAAAAATAAAAGTAATAAAAATTTTTATACATCTAACTAAAAGTTATCTGAATCGTGTTGTGTTTGATGCAATTTGCTGCAAAAATCTCATTAATTCATTACAATTACTGTCGGAAAAAAAATCAATTATAAATATAAAAAATTTAGAGCTTTTTTTATATTTTTATAAAATTTTTATTATATTAAAAAAATAATAATATTATATTAAAGAAGAAAAATAATATTATATTTAAAAAATCAATGAAGAAAGACATTTTTTTCAATATTTGTTTTCTATAAAATAAAAAAAAAAACAGTTTGCTTATATCTTTATGCATTGCAAAATCGCATTACCTATTGCTCACAGCTGTGTATTTCTACAAATTTCAACAAATTCTCCCTCATCTCTTCTCTCTAGTGTATTCTTTCATAAAAAAACTATACTTGCTGCATGACGTCATCCCCGACGTATTATTCAGTGAATGCATAGTGCTTACGATTCCCACGTAGTGAAAAGAAATGCTGGCAAAGTATGCGCGAGTCGAGGCATCCGCCAATGTTTGCCAGCTACTTGCAAACTGTTGAGGAAGTGATGACAATTCTCGCTGGATGTTCTTACTGCAAAACTTGGTCTCCTCGACGTGCTGCATGAACAAAGCGCCTTTCTCCCTTGATAGTGCGTTGTGAAGGTGCGGGAAGAAGCTCTCCGGTGATGCCAGAAATTACACCTTTCCGAAAATACGTATGCAGTAAATTTCGATGTACGAAATCCTGACTGAAATCTCCGAATGGCGAAAAGTTTAAATCTCGGACAAAATTGGATTACATTGTATAAGAAATACAAACACAAATTCTTAAAGCTGATTATAGAGTTCAATGCAACAGTGGCTTTCAACTCGCTTTTCAAACGAACGGTAAAGCACATCTAAACCCGATTTCAGCAATAACTTTAAGTTAACTTAACAACTTTAGGATTTATTTTTGCAAGTTTTTGGAAAAGTGGGTCAAACTATTGTTTCCACGTGCAAAATCCTTCGAATGGTATGTACTTAAAGGACCGTCTTTTTGCTACTTAAAGCGAGCCTTGGTTTAAGATTTTTCCTTTGCGTAAAATATATGTCGTACCTCTGAATAAGACGGTATTTTACGTGTGAAGAGTTACTTTCATCCCTCTCGTCCAATATTCGTGAATTCTCCCTCGAGCCTTTCGATCGAAATTTTTCGCAGGACGAGAAATTTTTAAATGAAAGCTCATTAGAATGCCGAAAGAATTGTTTTCTCGGGGAACGTTTGATTTACCTCATCAGCGAGTTCTTAACTTCGGTGTGGGGTTTGAATAGCGGTCGAGTGCTCGAACGTAATGCTTTCACAAACTCGACTCAGTGAGTGGCTGTAGAAAGGTGTGAGAATTCGCGCGAGAGAAAGAGAGAGAGAGAAAGAGAAAGGTAAAGAATGATAGAGTGGCAGAAGGGGAAAGGGTTGGAGGATGGGGTTGCAAAGTGGAAGAGGGGAAGAGCAAGAGGGAAGCTCACGGCGGCGTAGGGTGGCAATTTGATTTTGCAACCTAGATAAAGAAAGCTTTCTTCTTCGTTATTGGTTACTACGAGTTCCTTGAAAGAATTCTATGCGACAGAATAATCATAATAACTTCATCGTGAACTTTCGACACGATATATACGCACGTGCGGCGTGAATTACAGCCACAAAGTTGCATGATCGTGTGGCATAGATGTTCAGTGCTATCGAATGCTCGTTCGTGAGATGGATAGCCTTGTGGAATGACTCGTGCAAATTGCACAAAGCTAAATTATTGCCAAGGATCAATCTAAGAAATGAAACATCAAAAATATAATAATAATCTCCCTCCCTCTCTCTCTCTCCCTATTTTTATTTACACATTTCAAATCTTTCAATTATGATATTTATTTAAAAATCTTAATACTTTAATCAATCTTTGAAAATAATCTCTTCTCCAAATGTCGCCAGAATAAAATTCATTCCAATATGTACAGGAACAAACTCAAGATTACTGAAATAAAAATTGGAATGACTCGTGCAAATTGCACAAAGCTAAATTATTGCCAAGGATCAATCTAAGAAATGAAACATCAAAAATATAATAATAATCTCCCTCCCTCTCTCTCTCTCTCTCTCTATTTTTATTTACACATTTCAAATCTTTCAATTATGATATTTATTAAAAATCTTAATACTAAATCAATCTTTGAAAATAATCTCTTCTCCAAATGTCGCCAAAATAAAATCCATTCCAACGATATGCACAAGAACAAACTCAAGATTACTGAAATAAAAATTTATAATCGTAAACATAACGGATATAAACGAACCAAGGCTATCCTTGTGCGAAAGACGCGGACATGAGAGATCGAAGAAGAAAGTCCCCAGACTACTCCCTTTCGCCGAAGTGTCGATAGAGTCGGTCGACCCAAAAACAAAGCCGTAACTCGATAGAGACGTCATCCTGCCGTCAAGAAACTCAGGGTGACAAGAATAGGGTGACTCATGAGAAGCAGCAGCCGCCGCCGAGCCTCCCCCTCGTTCTTCCCTTCGCAGCAGAAGGGTCTGTCTACCAAACCCCGCGCGTCCCAGACACCTCACAAAGATCTGGACGACGACAACGACGACGCTCGTCTTCTTGGGCGACCACGAACTGTCCAACTGTCCAAGTACCCATTTTCGCGCAGACCAGCGGGACACTTCCATCTCGCTCTACTATCGCGAATAATATCTCTCCGAGATACCGACAGACACGATCTCGCCAAAACGAGTCCTGACAAATTCGTAATCGCGGACACTTCTTCTCCCTGCCTTTTCCTGTATCATTTCTGAATTTATCCTATCAGAACGTGCCACACATATCTCGACGGATCACAAATCGTCCAAAAAGTAAGGATCTTCTCGATTCTGATCGTATTGTGCTTGTCCGTTTTTCTTACATAACGACGCAAAAAAATCCTCCCCTTAACGATTCCCTTTATTTGGAGTCGCGGAACCACATTCGTGAATTCGATTATGGAGATATATAGGAGATAGATATTTTTTTTATTTATTATTTTTGCCTTTCGATTTTGAAACAAGTTTATATAAATTTTATAGTACTTACATTATAATAATGACGTACATATAAAATATAAGTTTGATATACATAACAATATCTTATCTTAATTAATCTTTAATCTAATAACCTGATTCGACAGCTATAAAATTTTTATAATAATTGCATAAAAATTTAAATTATTTTTAAATTATTTGAATTTATTTTATTTTCTCCCTGAGTTTATTTTTTAGATTTTCTTTGGTTTTATTCTTCCCTTTTTTTCATTCAGTGATCCCGTCTCCCTTCGTTTCCAAAGGTTTGATTTATTCTTATTGATATTGCACTGTTTCTTATTTCTGCTATATAATTTATTGCTAAATATTCTACCGTTCCGATTTCACTCTGATATATCCTACACATATTCTTTTCTTGTTCATGCCAAAATTTATTATAAAGTTCTTCGTTTCCACATCTAAATCTTGAACAATTGTTTGAAAATCTCTCTGATATTGTAAAGTATTTTTCTATCGTTTTCAACTTTTTATATCTTATATTATATCTGAAATTCCGAATATTATTCTATTTCTATCTATTTTTTAATCCTTATATTTCTTTTTCGGATATCTTATTTTAAAACTAATAAATAAATTATTTTAAAATTAATAAATAAATTATGATGCGTAGTAAAGTACGAAATGAACACAGGAAAATCTCGCGTCCGATAAAAGGCAAAAAAAAAGATAAGATGCGATAATTTTACCGCTAAAGAAATCATGATAATATCGAGAATAAATTAAATAGATGCGTTTAATGAATTGCCGCAAAGATGAAGAAGAGGAAACATTATGTTTACGACTCGAATACATAGACGTGTATACACGAACTACGCAGGAAAATTAATTTTCTTAATGGTCGCGAGAGTGCATGTACGTGTGATTTCGTTTTTATTTATTAATTTTCTTAATGGCATAATCTTCAGTTTACATCCGATTGCTATCGTTTCTTCCGGGGGATCAATTCGCTAGGATCGGGGCGGGGGATGCGGAGCATCCCCTTTAACGGGACCGGCTGTAAAAAATTAATTTTCTTAATGCAACACCATCTGCGAAATGGGGTGAGTGCCGAGATTGCGAAATAATTAGTGTTTCCTTGGTTGGCATCCGGGAACTGAAATCTCCAGGAAAATTCTCTCGGTATTAAGGCTTGACTGTATAAGTTTCATGGCTTATTGCCCACTGGGATATTATATGTATTATACTGCATAGTACTTTCGCAGATGCATGATGCGTATTGTAAAATCGTGATATTTAGATGATAATATTATATGAATTGTAATATTTTTATTTAGAAACGTTCGAGGGTCAATTAAAATTTTGTTAATAAAATAATATTTATCGCGTAAAGCACGCAAAATTTCTTGTATATACATATATATTTTTTTTTTCGATAAAATATTCGCACAATTTTTATTATATTATATTTCATTTAAAATATTAATTTTTCTTTCAAATTGTTATTATAACTAATATTAATTATTTTCATTCATAAAAGAATTAATTGTTACATTTTCTGTTGCAATTTGACATATAAATATTTTTATACATTAATGGTAATCAATATTTATTGAAATCACATCGATAATTAATATAAAAAAAAACAGATAAAATAAATATCTCTCGATGCAGCGATAAATATTACTTTCTTCCACAGATAATAATTTAATATTGCCCGGTTTCTCAAATCGCATCTATATGTAAGAAGCGAATGTTTGAAAGTTTCTTCAAGGTTGAAGGACGTGTTTTACATTTCAGTACCATTAAGAAAATGAGATTTGCAATTCAGATAGGCAAGATACTTCGCGGATTTGCATTGACATTGCCGACTTTTTCAGAAGAAAACTCGGAATGCATCTTGTAACACACTCGTTATCGAAGATTAGACTAATCATTTAATAGTCACTACAAAGAAGAAAGACATAGTCACTGTCAAGTCATAGTTCTCAAAATCATCAGAATAACCTTCATACAAATTTAATGCTGAGCTCTTCATTCTTCTGCAAAAATAACGCATGCAATGCTCATGTCACCAGAGAGAGAGACTCGCTCTTTTTACCTATTTTAAATTTTGTTGTCAAGATTATTTTGGATGAGTCAATCAGAATCGAGAGTTCTGTCAACGAGGAGTCGTAAGTCTTCGGAAAACAGAGTACAGGACGGGGGAGAGCAACGGCGACCGATAGAAGAAACGGCGTCCTCCCTCCGGCAATCTCGTGTCGCGACATCGTAACTGCCTCGGACGTTCTATAGGTCCGTAACCGTTTCGGAATCTGGGGGATGGGCGAGAAGGGTGATGGTTGGCACGAAGTACGGATACAGCGTAAATTGTTAAGGCGAGGCCTCGCCTAGTTATAAATTAGGAAAGAGGCAATCTCGCCCGGGCTGGATGTTTTCCCGCATTTTCCGCGCTCTCCCCGCGCGCCCGCCTCCCTGTCTCTTTGTACGAGGCTTTAGTACCGGTCATAAAAAAAGGAGGAAGCGAGCCGTCTCAGAAATCCAGCTGAAATTAAGCCCCATCGTGTATGGTTCCTTAAAAAAAAGGAGAGAGAGAAAGGGAGAGAGAAGAAATGAAAGAGAGAGAGATGGAGAAGAAAGAAGGATTAAACGACGCGCA